AAACAAAACAAAAAACTATTAAAGCACAAAAACCTTTATCCTATGTGAATTACTCAAAGTTTAATTGCCAAATTTATCAAAGAGGCATGAACTGTTCTGAAATACAAAGAAAGTATTGTGAAATAAAATTTCCTTACAGAGTGTCATTTTCAGGGAGGGAATATGGCACATTAGAGGAAGGGTGCTCTCCCCATCAGTTCTTCGGCTCGATATTTAAAAACCTGGTTCTCAGTGAGGTGGGCAACTAAGGAAGATCACTGAAATTCAACACTTGGCAGCAAAAATAAAATAAAAATAAAAATAAATCATGGAGACACAAAGTTGGAAACTTTGAACATAAGAAATAATGTGAGTGACACACCAGCTTGGCTGGTGATGGTGACATTAACAGTGTTAGCATGACTAGCCCACTGCTGAGGGAAGGGGGAGCACAGGCAGAAAAAGAAGAAAGCACAGTGAATACTGTTGGGTTTGGGGAGCCTGTGGAGTGGAATAGAGAGGGAGGCTAATCTTAACTGATCCAGAGACGGTGGAGGAAGTTGTTGGGTTAAAAGTATTAAAATTGCTTAGCCACTGTTTGGAGAGTGGCAGGATCCAGAGTGATGGTGGTAGGAACCAATTTTAAATGGCCACATGGCAGTAAACAGAGGTATGAGATTGGGAACTCATAAAGGAAGCTGCCAGACTGACCCAGTAGTTGCCTATTATGAGGTCCAGTGTATGCTTAGCCCAGCGTGATTGTAACGGGCACAAAGAGGACTGTGCCTAGGGTGATATGCTCTGGGGAAACCAAGAGAGAGAGCACCTTTTGTTGCTGGCCTTCCCCTCCATGCTATTGGGAGGATGCCAGTAACTCCATCAGACAGGTACATCTGCCCTCTAGTTCTGATCACATCCATGATGGTGGAATATGTGAAGCATGTGGAGATTTAGACCCTCACCCTGAAAGTGAAATTTCCAGAAATCCCCTGAGGTCCAGGCATCTAGCAGAAATTGGCATCTCCCCAGCAATAAGGGGTGTGGATCAAATCACAAATCCCCAAACACAGAGTTCCAAAGGCCAGCCAAGACTAAATACCAATTCCAGTATAGAACTGCACCAGACCAGTACTCCCTAGGCCATCCCACATGATACTGGGAGACAAGAAGCTGAGTGATTACTACAACCAGCTTTGATCCTGGCCACAAGGGCGGGCAGCTAAGTGAGAAACACACTCTTAGTATTTAATAACCCCCATCTCTTGACCCAAGGGTTCCAGAGCCCAAAGACAAATACAAAGAATGGAACAACAACATAAGAAATGAAAATCCATCATTGCCCAAAATTTTGACCAACTTAGAAGAAACACACCTTTATTTCTCATTAAGAATTTTTTCCAGGTTGGGATATAACTCAATTGGTAGAGTGTTTGCCTCTTATGCACAAGGCCCTGGGTTCAATTCCTAGCACCACCCATACATACAAAAAAGAATTTTTTTCCTATTTTCCCCTTTTTCTTGTATTTTGAATTTAAGATTCTATTTACATTTGTCCATTCTGCATGATTCTCTGTGGTGTGCATATGCATATATATATATATATAATATAAGTATATATGTATAGTAATATAATTTTTTTTCTTTCAATTGCTTCTTTTCCACCTGTTTACAGGCGTGCACCTCTATGCCCAGCTCCACCTGTTAATTATTTAGCCTTGGTTTGACTTTGCTGGCATAACATTTTATGTGGGTTTGAATTGTTTTGATCTTTTATTTATTCATATCTTGGTTTCTGTTCCTCTCATTAACCCTTTTTCACTCTTTCCCCATTCATAGCCAAATTTTCCTGTTTCCTTTGCCTCTTTTTTATTCCACCTTCTTTACAGCTGTCATCTGCTACCTATCTCCTGCCTCCTATCCTCTGTTCACTTTTAACCTTCCTACCTCATTTTCTCATCACTTAAGAAACTAAGTCCACTATCTGATAGAATTATATAGTTTATGTAATGCCTACTCCATGTTCTGATTATTAATATAGTGGACAATATAATAGACACCTGCTATTTAACATCTTATCTTGTTAATGGTTGTTTATTGTTGGTGGTAATGTTAAATTCTGACCTCTATCATCCTCTACAGGGGACAATAATTAGTGTTATGGATATCAAAGTTGACTCTAGACAT